TAAATTGTTGTGAATGTCCTGAAAGTGTAATATCATACCAATAGTCCAGCCAACCATTATTATCATTATTAGCCAGGAGTGGGCCAACAGTTCATTGCCAAATAAGTGGACATAAGGGCACAGGTAGTACCAAATATGTGTATTAATAGTATTATTAAAAATCGTACCGGTAGTAATAGATAAACAAATTTTGCAACAAATACTGATATTAATGTTTTGTTAGTAATCGGTTGTCTCGAAACATAATCACACAAATCTCGTGAAAATACTAAATATTTTTTAGAAAATTTAAATATTTCATCTAATTTTCTATTAATTATTTGATCCATATTTTTTTAAGATAAATATTATTGAATTAATTTAATTTTTTAAGAGTTTACCAATAAAATTAAATATATTACTTATATATTTTGATAAAGTATACTGTTTTCAAAATCCAACTTTATAAATTATCTATTATATTATTTTTATCAAATTTATATATTATTAAATATAATAATAAATTGTCATAATCATTTATTTTGTAAATAATTCCAACTATATATTTTGTTATTATTTTTTAAATATAAAATATTTTATTTATATTTATTTATAATTAATTGCATACAAACACACATATAATATTTATAATATAATATAAAATAAAATAATTTTTTGAAATAATAAAAATATTAGAAAATATAGTTTATTTTAGTATTTAAAGTAAATAAATTATTCCTTATATTGTCCTAATATATATTGTTTTTAAAAATGTGATCTTAAAATTTTATACTAAAATAAATTTATTTATATATATGAAATCTAAAGTATACTAATTATTAATTATATTTAATTGTCAAAATCATCACTCATAATCATATACAGCATTTATAATTTTTTAAATACAAATATTTTTTATTATATTTTATATAATTTATCATTATAAAATGTTCTATTTATATTTATTTATAATTAATTGCATACAAACACACATATGTATTATATATAATATTAATAAAATATTTTTTTGAAAAAATATTAGAAAATATAGTTACAAAAAATAATGATAATAATGATGTTCGTAAATAATTTGAAAAATTGTTGTAAAATAAAAATGTTTCAATAAAATAATTATAGATAATTATGTTTTTTAAAAGTGTATTAATAGTCGAAAAAATAAATAAATGTTTTTTTTACAAAATGTAAATTATACTAAATCAATGGTAATATAATGTTTCAAATATGATAAACTATAGATTGAATGGAAATTAATTAAATAACTTTTAAAACATAAATTTAATATAATTGAGTCAAAAAATACTATTTTTAAATTATATTACTTTAATTATTAGTTAATATTAAATCAATTATGTAAATATTATTTTATACATAAAAATTTCAAACTATAAAATATAAATAATGTGTTCAATCACTTTTACAATTTTACTTAAATAATATTAAATACAGACAATAATTAACATTAATAAAAAAAATACAGACATTTTCATTATTTAATTAGCTATAAATTATTTTTTTTTAAAAAATATGATTTGATAATTACAAATTGTATTAAATTACTATTATATTATAATCAATGAAAATAATATAAATAAATTTTGAATAAAAACAAAACAATGTACAGTATAAGACAATTTTCAAGAAAGCTTATATTACTTTAATTTATAAAAAAAATATTTAGTTAAATCAGTTAAATAATTATTACTCAATGTATTTATTTCTTAAAATAATTTTTATCATATATTATTTTAATTATTATAATTTATTAAATAATAAGATTATGATTTTATAATTTCATATATCATTAAATTATATTATAATTAGTGTAATATTATTATTTAAAAAATATTATGATACTTAGAAATATAGAAATATCTCTGAATTAAAACAATATATTATATGGCATACAGTATAGTTAGTGTTGACAAAAAAGAAAAATTTATAAAATAATAGAGAAATTTCTCGATATATGTTATTATTTAACAATACATTTTTTTACAAGTAATAATTAAATATTAGTAATATTAGTATTAATATTTTAATTATTAATTAAACTAACATGAAATTTATTTAATTATTTTAAATTCTTATATATATATATAATAAAATGATTATTAAAAATTAAAAAAATGATTATTATTAAATAATTATAATTATTTTACATATAGGTATCGCATTTTTTATAGTAGTGTTTAGTATAATGTTATATGAGTAGTAGTTTATGTCTCATTATTTATATATTATTACAATAGCTATAGATATGGGGATCCTATAGTATAATAATAAAGTTAAATTTCTATACAAATTTATTTCTGAGACATTTTCTAGAAACTATTTCAGGAAAATTTATTAGAAACTTTCTATTTGCCTATCTCTAAGTATAATACATCATATATTATAATATATTCTACAATATATATAATTAAATTAATATAATAAAAATATTAAAATATAATAAAATATTAAAATATAATAAAATGTTAATAATACTAAAATAGAAATAAAATTATACTATATTTATTTTAAAAACAGAAACTCGTAATTAGTAAATACTGTATCAATAATTTACCTGTACTTAAAAATGTAGATTAATGTAATATAAATATTTTAATAATAATAAAAAATTCATTTTATATAGTGATTACTAATAATATATTATATATTATAAGATTATAGTTTATTATTAATAATACTGTATAATTATATAATTTACTTTTATAGCTATAATGTATTTCAAACAAACAAAACAATTTCTAATATATTAAAATATTTTTAATTAAATATAATTTTTTACAACAGCATAACATTTATTATTTGTTTGATTATTAAGTATTATATTAATTTTAAAAATCCAAAATATATATATATATAAATGTTAAAATAAATAATATGAAAAAACTTATAAAAAATTCATAATTAATATATAGTTAATACAAGCGATATAAACAAATTGATAAAATTCATAACTAGTCATTGGAAACAAATTATAGCAATAGATGCCAATCACAGGTCCCGATAGTCTATCAATAAATTGTAATACTTTTAATACCATTCGTGTGTTTTGTCGGCGATAACAACCATTGCTTACAAAATATGTAAACAATTTTGTATACGACTTATGTGCCGATGAACTGACTTTTGTACACATAATTGTCATTATGATTACTGCACTAAAACAAAATACAGTCAAAAATAGATAAAATAGTCGACCGATTAGTGAAGTATCTGATCGATGGACACCATAGAGTATTATCTGAAAGCCAGGGGTAGCCATATAGTAGATGACTAATAAAATATATCGAAACGTATGATTGAAATCACTGGTCATATGTTCAATATATTTGTGTTCAACAATAGCTTTTTGTAGTGCTATTTGGTCATCAGTTTTAATACTTTCGATAATTTTATCATTAATTTCCATAAATTTCAGTTTTAAATAGAATGTAAAAGATATCCAAAATGTTGTACCAAACCATAGTAGGCTATATATTTGATAACTAAAATTAACCATGGTCATACACCAAAATATTAACATTATTAATGATTGATTGTATTTGCTATTGTTATCCATATATGCTATAGAATTGAATAATGAATGAAAGCCTACTGTAATAATTATCGACGGTTTAAACAAATATTTAACTAATAGTGTTATTAAAATATTGAGACGTTTCGTAAATTTACGTTTATTTAAACTATTCAATGGATATTTTATTGAATTATGTCTAATTAGATTAGTCCACATTAACATCGATAAATTGTTTTGAATATCCTGATAGTGTAATATCATACCTATAGTCCAGCCAACCATTATTATCATAATTAGCCAGGAGTTGGCCAACAGTTCATTGCCAAATAAGTGGACATAAGGGCACAGGTAGTACCAAATATGTGGATTATTAGGCAGTAATAGTATTATTATGAATCGTACCGGTAGTAGTAGATAAATAAATTTTGCAACAAATAATGATATTAATGTTTTGTCATTAATTGGTTGTTTTGAAACATAATAACTCAAATCTCGAGTAAATACTAAATATTTTTTAGCAAATTTAAATAATTTATCCAATTTTGTATTAATTAATTCATCCATATTTTTTCTAGATAAGTATTATTCAATTATTTTTATGTTTTTTAAAAAATAATATTGACATTTAGTTTTCTAACAAAAATAAATATATTATTTATTTATTTCTGCTAAAGTATACTGTTTTTAAAATCCTTTTAGAGTATTCTTAATATTTATTATATTATTATTTTCAAATTTATCTATCATTAAATATAATTATCAAATGTCATAATCATATATACTGTAAATAATTGCAACTTTATCTTATTTTATCATTTTTATTAAATATAAAATATTCTATTTATATTTATTTATAATTAATTGCATACAAACACACACACATATATAATATAAAAAAATTATTTTTTGAAAAAATAAAAATATTAGAAAATATAGTTTATTTTAGTATTTAAAGTAAATAAATTATTCATTATATTGTCCTAATATATAGTGTTATACTAAAATAAATAAATAAATATATATATATATATATATATATATATATTAAAAAGTGTATATGAAATTTTAAGTATACTAATTATTAATTATTTTAAATTGTCAAAATCATCACTCATAATCATAAATAGTATTTATATTTTTTTTAATACAAATTTTATTATATTTTATATAATTTATTACATTGTTTATATGTTTGTTTATTATAGTATTATTACAATGTATTATTTTAAGTTGCAGTTATTTGTAATTAATTGAACTCAAACACACACAAAAATAAGATGTAATTATTAATAAAAAACAATAAATAATTTTTTATAAAAGATATGATAAAGTTATATATATTTACACAAAAATGGCTGAAAATTAATTATATAAAAATTTTAATATTTCTAGATTTGCGTCAATAGACATATGGACACATATTTAATTAAAAATTGTATATTAAATATGTGGGTGAATAAAATAAATTAATTTTTAGTAAAATATATCAATCTTACAGTTAATTTGTAAAAATAACTTCATTTTTTTAAATTAGTTACTGAAAAAAAACAAAGTCATAAAACAATGAATCGTTTTGTTGTATTGATTGCTTATGTGGTTATTATTGTGGCCATCAGTAAGTTTTGATTGAGAAAATATTTTTATTATTAAAAAAATAACTATTAATTAATAAATGTTTGTTTAATAATTAATTACTTAAAATTTATTTTTTTTTCAAAATAAAACTTATATAACAGTTTCAGCTAGTACAAATGCAGCTAAAACACCAAAAGTTCCAATGCGTAAATAAATTTTAAAATAAATTTTAAAATAAATTTTAAAAGTTTTAATCTTAATTATTATTTTATTTTTTTTAAATCTAAATTTTACTTAAGCTGTTCCGCATTATGAGTATGTCCAGGGTCCTAAATAATTCAATTAAACTGCACAACAAATAAACATTACTACAACTACAATATAATTTAAATATATAATTATATTTTAATTATGTTTAATTAAATCTAAATTATTTTTGTTTTCTACAATAAATTTCAAGAATAATAATAATGATAGTAAATAATTTGATAAATTGTTGTAAAATAAAAATGTCTTAATAAAATAATTATAGATAATTATGTTTTTAAAAATGTATTAATAGCCGAAAAAATAAATATATGTTTTATATTAAATTTTTGTTTAAAAATGTTTATCATTATATTAGTAATTAGTTATTAAACTTAAAATATTAATATATTTCATTAAAATTATTATTTTTACAAAATGTATACTAAATCAATGGTAATATAATGTTTCAAATATGAAAAACTATTGCAAATATTGATAACTATAGATTGAATGGAAATTAATTAAATAACTTTTTAAAAAATAAATTTAATACAATTGAATCAAAAAATACTATTTTTAAATTATATTACTTTAATTGTTAGTTAATATTAAATCAATTATTTAAATATTATTTCAAAAATAAAAATTTCAAACTATAAAATATAAATAATGTGTTCAATCACTTTTACAATTTTACTTAAATAATTTTAAATACATACAATAATTAACATTAATAAAAAAATACAGACATTTTCATTATTTAATTAACTATGAATTTATTTTTTTTAAATATGATTTGATAATTACAAATTATATTAAACTACTAGTATATTATAATTAATGAAAATAATATAAATAAATTTTGAATGAAAAAACAAAACAATGTACAGTATAAGACATATATTATACTTTATATTACTTTATATTATCTTTATTTATAAAAAAAATATTTAATTAATTTATTAAAAATATATTCTTAATGTTAGTTTTATTTCAATGCTATTTTTAATAAATATAATTTCTTTTACTGAAAAATTATTGTCATATATTCAATATATTTGTGTTCAACAATAGCTTCTCGTAGTGTTATTTGGATACTATTTAGAGATTTTAGCATTAATTTCTGAAAATTTCGGTTTCAAATAAGTTATTAAATGTTGTGCTAATCTATAGTAGACTATATATTTGATAAAAAAACATTAACCATGGTCATACACCAAAATATTAACATTATTAACAATTGATTGTATTTGCTATTGTTATCCATATATGTTATAACATTGAATAATGAATGAAAGCCTACTGTAATAATTATTGACGGTTTAAACAAATATTTAACTAATAGTGTAATCAATATATTTAGTCGTTTAGAAAATTTACATTTATTTATATTATTTAATGAATTTTGTATTGCATTTTATCTAATCAGATCAATCCATAATAATAATAATAATAAACATCTGTATATTGTTATGAATATCATTACAATGAAATATCATACTTATAGTCCAGTCGGACAATATTATCAATAAAATAATTTCAAAACAATAATTTTATATATTCTATATGTTATAGTATAATAAATCAATATGTTATATAATTATATTCAGTTAATAGTTTTATAATCAAGTTTCATAATTATTACTTAATGTGTTTATTTCCTGAAATAATTTTTACCATATATTATTTTAATAATTAAAATGCAAATAATTTTTTTTACATAATTAACTAAAAATAATAATTTATTTAAAAAATAAGGTTATGATTTGATGATTGCATATATTACATAAGTATAATACATCATATATTATAATATATTCTACAATACTGTATAATTAAATTAATATAATAAAATAATACTATTAATACTAATAATATGTTAATAATAATATTAAAAAAATATAATAAAAATTAAATTAAACTATATTTTATTTTAAAATTATTAATATTATTAGTGAAATAAATCATTATTTTATTAATTTATATATATATTTATTTTATAGATTAATTTATGATAAATATAATAAAAATAATTTTATTACTTTCAGAAAAAATATATCAAATAAAAATTGAACAATATTTTAATAATAATTTTTTAAAACTTTTTTAATAGTGATTATTATAATATAAGATATTATAAGTTATAAGATATTATAAGATATAATATATTATAAGATTATAGTTTATTAATAGTATTGTATAATTATATAATTTACTTTTATAGCAATAATCTAATTTTATTACAAATATATCAGACATTTTTTGAAACAAAAAATACAATTTCTAAAATGTTAGAATATTATAATATTTTACAACAGCATAACATTTATAGTTTGTTTGATTATAAATTATTATATTATTTTTAAAAATCTAAAAAATATATAAATGTTAAAATAAATAATATAAAAAAAACTTCATAAAAAATTCATAATTAGTATATAATTAATACCTGCAATATAAACAAATTGATAAAATTCATAACTAGTCATTGGAAACAAATTATAGCAATAGATGCCAATCACAGGTCCCGATAGTCTATCAATAAATTGTGAAACTTTTAATACTATTCGTGTGTTTTGTCGGCGATAACAATCATTTCGTGCAAAATATGCAAATAATTTTGTGTACGATTTATGGGCCGATTCACTGACAGTTGTACACATAATTGTTACCATAATTTCTGCACTAAAACAAAATATTGTCAAAAATAAATAAAATAATCGACCGATAAATGATGTATCGGATCGATGGACACCATAGAGTATGACCTGAAAGCCAGGTGTAGCCATATAGTAAAGTACAAACAAAATATACCGAAATGTATGGTTGAAATCACTGGTCATATGTTCAATATATTTGTGTTCAACAATAGCTTTTTGTAGCGCTATTTTGTCATCAGTTTTAATACTTTCGATAATTTTATCATTAATTTCCATAAATTTTAGTTTTAAATAGAATGTAAAAGATATCCAAAATGTTGTACCAAACCATAGTAGGCTATATATTTGATAACTAAAATTAACCATGGTCATACACCAAAATATTAACATTATTAATGATTCATTGTATTTGCTATTGTTATCCATATATGCTATAACATTGAATAATGAATGAAAGCCTACAGTAATAATTATCGACGGTTTAAACAGACATTTAACTAATAGTGTAATTAATATATTGATACGTTTAGCAAATTTACGTTTATTTAGACTATTCAATGGATATTTGATTTGATTATGTCTAATCAGATCAGTCCATATAAACATCGATAAATTGTTATGAATATCCAGACAATGAAATATCATACCTAGAGTCCAGCCAACTATTATTACTATTATAATCCATGTGTGGGCCAACAGTTCATTGCCAAATAAGTGGACATAAGGGCACAGGTAGTACCAAATATATGGATTATTAGGCATTAATAGTATTATTATGAATCGCACCGGTAGTAGTAGATAAACAAATTTTGTCACAAATACTGATATTAATGTTTTCTTAGTAATTGGTTGTCTCGAAACATATTCACTCAAATCTCGAGTAAATACTAAATATTTTTTAGCAAATTTAAATAATTTATCCAATTTTGTATTTATTATTTTATCCATATTTTTCTAGTTAAATATTATTCAATTGTAATTTTAGTTTTTTTTAAGAGATTAACAACAAAATTAAATATATTATTATTATTTTTTTATTTTGCTAAAGTATATTGTTAAAATTTATTTAGAGTATTCCTAATAATTATATACAGTATACAATAAATCTGTATAAAATTATTTTATTTATTTATATAAATAAAACTATATTAATGATATATTTTTTCAATTTATTTATCATTAAATATATATATAACTAAAAAAGTTCTAATAATCATATATAAATAATTCCAATTTTATCTTATATTTTGATTTTTTTAAATATAAAATATTGTGAAACTTATTGTACTTTTTGTACTTATTGTACTTATTGATAGTTCATTGCATACATACAAAAAAAAACAATATTGTATCATATCTATTATAAAAAATTATTTATTGTTTTTTATTATAATTATATCTTATTTGTGTGTTATTATATTATATATTTTATAATAACACACAAATAAGATATTTATATTATTCTTATAAAGTAAATAAAATTTAATCGATTAGTATATATAAAAAAGCTGATATATCAATAAATCATATGATATACAGTATTTTAATTATAATTTTTTTTATTTTTTTTTAAAAGTATATTATGATAATCGTTGTTTCAAAATATTTTAAAATAAGACATAGAAATTGAATAAATAAAAAGATTAAATCTATAATTATTATAAAACATGATTTACTTTTATCAAGGATTTATAATTTTTCTTGTAAGCAAAATTGGTCATGTATTATACATTGTTTTACTATATCTCAGCCAATACTGTTAAAAAAAACTCTAACATTAGCTATTAGTTGTTTGACTAAATAAAAATTAATATTTAAACAAAAAAAAACAAATATTTTTACACACAAATGGCTGACATTTAATTAACTACATTTTTTTTAATAATACAAATATTATAAACTATAAATATTATCAAATAATTTGTGTTCAATAAAATTCCCTCCTTTTATTTTTTATCTAAAATTTTTTTTATATGTTCCCATTTGGAATTTATTTATTTATTTTTTTTGTAAATAATCTATTGAATCCGAAACAACACAATTAATTAATTATGTCTAACAAAAAATAAATAAATATTATATTGAACTGTATATATTGAGTGATATTGATTAATATATGTTTTATATAATTATTAAAATATTTCATTTCATAGTTTTTATTGTAACCATTTATTTTAATAATATAAAATATATTTATTTATTTTTTATTTCTAACAATCTATTTAGTAGATAATAAAATATTTTTCATATTTTCAGTATGAATTTTGAGTGATTTTATTATGGAATCCAAACTATTAATTATGATAAATATTAATGAAAATAATTATAATTTTAAATAAAATTAAAACAATGTACATTATAAGGCATATATTATAAATTATAGTACTTGTATTACATTTATAAATTATAAATAAATTTATATATATTTAGTTAATTATGTTAATTTATTAAAAATATATATACTTAATGTTAGTTTTATTTCAGTGCTTTTTTTAATAAATATAATTATTATTTACTGAAAAATATTTGAAACAAATAAAATATTATAAATAATATATGATAATATACTGAATATATTAAATAAATAATTATCTAATCTATAATCTTATAAGTTACGTATATATTTTTTGTTTGTTTTAATTTAATATTTTATTTTGAACCAATTAATTAATATTGATTTTATAATTTAAAATAACCCTTTAATTAATATATATTCACTTATTTGTGTTTGTATGCATTTAATTAAAAAACATGTTGTTGTTAACTTTATATAATTTGATTTCTATTATTTATAAAAAAATATTATTATATCATATTTACATACTATAAAATCAATAAACTAAGAGAAATATATATTTAAATAAAAAAATAACTTTATGTATTACATATATTATATTAATTACAGCAATTGTATTATTTACAAAACTATGAATATTACTAAAATTAATATAATAAACATAGATTTAGCTAAATAGTAAAAAGTTTTATTAATTTTAATAATTTAAAATAGACTCATAATTAGAAAATAGTTAGAACCGGATATATAAACAAATTGATAAAATTCATAACTAGTCATTGGAAACAAATTATAGCAATAGATGCCAATCACAGGTCCCGATAGTCTATCAATAAATTGTGATACTTTTACTATCATTTGTGTGTTTTGTCGTCGATAACAACTATTGCGTGCAAAATATGCAAACAATTTTGTATATGACTTATGGGCCGATGAACTGACAGTTGTACACATAATTGTAACCATAATTTCTGCACTAAAACAAAATACTGTCAAAAATAAATAATATAATCGACCGATTAATGAGGTGTCTGATCGATGGACACCATAGAGTATGATCTGAAAGCCAGGGGTAGCCATATAGTAGAGTACAAACAAAATATACCGAAACGTATGATTGAAATCACGGGTCATTTGTTCAATATATTTGTGTTCAACAATAGCACGCCATAGATGTAGACTATTATTATTATTATTACTGTATTTGAGACTGATTTCAATTTTTTTTATTAATTTCCATAAATTTTAATTTCAAATAATAGTTTAACGATATAAAAAATGTTGTGCCCACACATAGTAAGCTAAATAATTGAATCGATAGACTGACCAAGATCAATGACCATAATACTAACATTATTGGTGATTGTTGTTTGCCATTGTTATACATATAATATGCTATCGTATTAAACATTGTATGTATAACTATGTTAATAATTACCGACGGTTTGAATAAATATTTAACTAATATTTTATATAATATATGAAGTCGTTTAGCAAATTTACGTTTATTTAAACGATTTAATGGATATTGTATTGTGTTTTGTCTAATCAAATCAGTCCATTGAAACATTGGTATATTGTTATGGAAATCCTGATAGTGTAATACCATACCTATTATCCAAAAAAATATTATAACTACAATAATCCATGTATGAGCTAATAGTTTATTGCCAAACAAGTGTACATATGGGCACATGTAGTACCAAATATGGGAATTATTTGTGTATATTATGATTAATATAAATCTGATCGGTTCTAATATACTAAATAATTTTGACATCACTATTAATATATATGTATATTTATTAATAGGTTTTCCCAAAACATAGTTATCTAAATCACGACTAATTACTAAATATTTTTTACTAAATTTAAATATATTATTCATTGATAACTGTATGATGTTATTCATTATATTATAATAGATTAAAAATAATTAACTATAATATAGTTTTATAGTATAACTATTAGTAATAAAGCATTAATTACTGTATACTAGTCTACACTATTTATTGAATCTATTTTTAGTAAAAAAATAAAATATAGTTATTATATATTTAATTAATATTTATCATATTATTCAAACATATTATTTATATATAAGTATATGAAAATTAGTTATAAATATAATAAATAAAATTCTAAATATAGTTTTTATGCAAATATTTATCATAAATAATTTAATAATATTGCGTTTTGTTGCACCAATTTGTAGCCACTTTATACGCTCCAGTGGTCCGATACGAGCCGATGAAACACAACCGGTATCTATATGTAGATAGAAACCGTCCAATACTGTTGAACTTACCGTTGAGTTAAAATAAAAGGTATTCCGTTTTTTGAAGTTTAATATAACAGTATTTATTTAATAATAATAAAAAAATAAAAGTACAATAAATATGTATAGTAAGTAATTCTAGGTCTAGCAGTTTTATGCAAATTCTAAGCACAGTACTCTTTAAGGTTAACATTATGAGTATTAAATAATAAGAATAATAAAATTACAGTATAGTATTAATCCCCAAAAATAATTAGTAATAATAGTGTTAATAGTAATAATTTGTGTCTTGATTTCCAACTAAAAAAAATTATTTTGTCGGTTTAAAGCTTATAACTGGGACTTAGTATGTCCACCGAAGTTGACCAGTGGACGCTATTTCCGAAATTTTATTATAACTATAAATAACTATTTGTTGGGTTAGATACTATAAAAACTTATAAATAACTATTTCAATTATTTTGAAAAATATAAGCATTAAATTGTAAAATATTGCACAAATATATGTAAAAACAAAAAATAATAGTTATATAAATTATATAAAATGTGTAAACTGTTATCAACTCATATTACTTTTTTAACAATAAAAATAATTAGTTTATTTATATAAATCATTTTTTGTAAATACGCTGAAAACAAGTGAATTATATATCAGTTGCAAATAATTATAAGAAAATAAATAACTATTTCAATAACTATTTGGCTTTTTTTGGCAATTATTATAACTATTTAATAGAGTATAAAAAATTATCAATCAATACACTAGTAATAATTGTAAAAAACAATATTATAATTACTAATGAATATTGACAACACTATTGTATCTCTATAATAATTATAATTATTATAGAGATACAATAGTGTTGTCAATATTCATTAGTAATTATAATATTGTTTTTTACAATTATTACTAGTGTATTGATTGATAATTTTTTATACTCTATTAAATAGTTATAATAATTGCCAAAAAAAGCCAAATAATTATTGGTGAAACTGTAGAAACTGGTGACCATGGTTTCCAATTTGTCCAAGCTATAACCAGTCCTATTGACTGTTACATAACATTTGGGTATTATTATTATGTTTATATACTGTGACTAGTTTTAAACAAACAATAGTTTTTATTAAATAAATAATTAATTTATTTAATTAAATCATAATTTATAATAAATATTAAATTATTTCATTGAATAAATAATTTTTAATATATAATTAAATTATTTTAAATACTAAACTCTATTATAGTTTTTATTTACAGTATTACAGTATTTATCATATCAACAATTATACGGGTCTTTTATATATATGAAAATTATATAGTTACACTATTAGAATGTTGTAGTAATAAAATGTACCAAAATTGCACTCTAAATAAGTAAATATCTGTATGTTATAATGATTACAGTACAGTTACTATTCTACATATTGTTGACATTCATTCATTCCATTACTATATACTTTCAATACAATTAAGTCTACAAAAAAAAATTGGTATTTATTTTTAATATAAATTTTTTTTTTGTAACAGTGATTGTAATCATTTTCGGGTCAATTATTATTACCGCTGTCTGTCTGTCTGACCACTGACCGGCCGATCGGTTCTGTCTGTGTCTGTGTGTGGGTTTGAAACGACATGGAATCAGTGAATCTCAACGAATGTCTGATCGGGTTTATCGGCGCCGGCAATATGGCACTGGCATTGGCCACCGGTCTCATCGGTTCACGTAATGTATTGCCAATTAAAAAAATAAGAGGTTTTATTGATTGATTGATTGATAATTTGGTGGTCAATCCATCATCCACTTCCTTCTCATCATCAATAGGTGCCATTAATCCCAAACAGATAAGCGCCAGTTCGCCAACTCAGAGGATCGGTAGCCGATGGCAGGTATGTGTTATGGCTTTTATTATATCGACTTTTATGTCTGATGAGGACAGGGATGTCATATATCATATCATATATGATATCTCATTACTAATAATATTAAATAAATAACTTTTTATATATCTATTGAAATCTACTGATATATCAGCAATTGGGTTGTCATATCTGTACCGATAATAACCAACTGTTTGGTCATTTGGGTCCACAAAACTTTGCCACAACTAAAGTAGTGTTTCTATGTGTCAAACCTAATGTCTACAAGAAGTCAGTGGACAGCGATAACAATGGATCGGCGGCGACCGCACTCGTAAAACCCGATTCACTTCTACACATGACTAATACACTGGTCATTGTGTCGGTTATGGCCGGCGTTGAGCTACGTTTGGTACGGCGTCTGGTTTTTCCCGATCAACGATTTGCATCGCCAGCACACATAGTTTTTGCCCGACTGATGCCCAATACGGCCGTATCGGTTGGCGCCGGTGTCTGCGGTACGTGCATCGAAAGTGTCGGTAGCGCTCGTGGAGACAATGCGTTCAAAGGTTTTCTGAAGAAACTGTTGGCACCGTTAGGTTTGGTCGAGTTTGTTGATGACGAACACCTCTTGAACGCCGTGTGCGGACTGGCCGGCAGTGGCATAGCGTTTGTCTATACGTTTATCCACGCCATGGCTGATGGCGGTCTCAAAATGGGTTTACCGCGTACTGTGGCCACCAGTATTGCCGCACAAACTGTTAAAGTAAATGATTTGTTTAATTAAAAATTTTTATTTATAATTATATTTGTTATTATCTATTGTTTCTATCGATAGGGCGCCGCACTTATGGTTGAAAAGTCAGGTCAAAATACCATTGCATTGCGCGATGAGGTGACCTCACCGGCCGGTACCACAATTCACGGCTTACACGCACTCGAATCGGGCGGTTTTGCCGGACTCGTCATGTCTGCCATCGAGTTGGCCACCAAACGGGCCGAAGATTTCAAATAATAATAGGATTTTTTAAAGATTTTATTTTTTTTAGTTATGAATTATATTTTTTTTCTAATATAAATTTATATACAATAGAATAATCATTTTATTTGTTATTACCGGTAATATTATTTTATAGATTTTGTAATACATTATTGCCGTAATTAGATTTATATATTTATAATTAATTAAAAATTTAATAAAAATTATTTTTATATTTAAAGATTACCGTAATTATGATATGATATTATCGTTAATATCGTTTACAGTTATACAGTATTGCTTATATATATATTATTAAAATATATTACTGGTAATAATTATCAATAGTTATTTTAATATAATAAAATAAATGTTTACTAAATAAAAGTCACAACTGACATGATAACATTTGTAATATTTTATTTTAAAAATTGTTTAATTTATATAAAATTATATTATATTACCTGTTCTTGTTTTACTACATATATCTACATATTTATAATATTTTTAAATTAGGTTAATATTATTAGAAAATTTTTCCTTATTTATTTTATTATTTTTTTTTGAATCAGTAAATGAAATACAATGACTTTTAATATATGTTTTATAAAAATATGTACAAATAATTTTTTTTTTTAAATATTTAATAAAATATTACATAAAAAATTATGTTTATTTAGTATTTCTATTTAATATACAGTATTATCGGTAATTGTTTTTAATTTAATATTACCGTTATATTTATAAGTTTATAATAATACAGTAATAATAATAATAGTTTTGAAAAACTGGTTTTCAAAAATATTTGGATTTTTATTAATTCATACTTTATGTCATAAAAAGGAAAGTTTAATTAATATTATTAATTTAATAATTTTTTCTGAAAAGTGAAATCTCCTATCGGGTCTCTTATTACTACCGCTGACCACTGGTTACCGAATAAGACATGGAATCTGTAAATCTAAACGACTGTTTGATTGGATTTATCGGCGCCGGAAATATGGCGCTGGCTTTGGCCACCGGTCTCATCAGTACCGGTAAAGTATTAATATATTATACAAATAATAATTACTGATTTAGTGGTTTGATTTGATGGCCCAATCAATCTCTTTGTGTAGGTATCGTAAGTCCTCAACAGATAAGCGCCAGTTCGCCGACATTGAGGATCGGTAGCCGATGGCAGGTATGATATTATATCTCATTACTACTAGAATACCTATAAATCTATTAATATATCTTATTTTTTTTGTCTGTATTTCTATGAAATCTAATTCAATGGATTAGCAATTGGGTTGTCATACCTGTACCGATAATAACCAACTGTTTGCATATTTGGCACCAAAAAACATTGTCACCACAACTAAAGTAGTGTTTCTCTGTGTCAAACCCAGTGTCTACAAGAAGTCGCTGGACATCGACAATGGATCAGCACTTGTGAATATCGACTCACTCTTACATATGACTAATAAATTGGTCATTTTGTCGGTGATGGCCGGCATTGAACTATGTTTGGTGCGCCAGATATTTCCCGATGAGTTGGTCAAAACTAGCAAAACAAACATAATGTTTGCCCGATTGATGCCCAATACGGCTGTTAAGGTGGGCGCTGGTGTGTGCGGCGCTTATATTGACAACATTTCCGATAGCAACGGATCATTCAAAGAGTTTCTCAGCAAACTGTTGGCACCGTTAGGTTTGGTCGAGTTTGTCGACGATGAACAACTAATTAATGCCGTGATAGGACTGGCCGGCAGTGGCATAGCGTTTGTCTATACGATGATACACGCCATGGCCGACGGCGGAGTCAAAATGGGTTTATCGCGTACTGTGGCCACCAGTATTGCCGCACAGACTGTCAAAGTAAATGATTTGTTTAATTTAAAAAATTTTATTTATAATTATATTTGTTATTATTATCTATTGTTTCTATCGATAGGGCGCCGCACTTATGGTTGAAAAATCGGGTCAAAATGCCATTGCATTGCGCGATGAGGTGACCTCACCGGCCGGTACCACAATTCACGGCTTACACGCACTCGAATCGGGCGGTTTCGCCGGACTTGTCATGTCGGCCATCGAAATGACTGCCAAACGTGCCGATGAATTAAAATAATAATAATGTAATAATAAATTTATTAATAGATTTAAATTACTTCATTTTTTTAATTACTGTATTATAATTTTGTTTTTTACAAATAATATTTTGTTTTCAAATAAATTATCAACTATTTTATATTTATATATACAGTATCTGTATTTATATAAAATTTAATATTTTATAAATAGAACTAAATTCAATAATTTGTAAATATTTATTTAGTTAACTACAATTTTTATAAAATTTTATTAAAGTTATATTTAAAATATTATTTTTTTAATCAATAAAATCATAATAGTATTATTATTATAGCAAAACATAATTACTTAGATATTCATTTTAATTTTTAAAGTATTCACATTTTATTTAATTTATTTTAAATAAAAACTTTTTTAATATAGCTATATTTTTTTTTTAAAAATGCTAAATTTAAATCAAAATATCTGTAATACATTGAATAGTTTACATAAATTTTGTAGTAAATATTTAGTAGTCACCCGAAATAATGTTGACTATGTTTACGGTAAACCAATTGCCATACATATCTATTTGGCGCTAATTATGGCAAAACTGTTATACCTATTAGTCCCGGTGCGCTATTTACTAATAGTTTTCTATCGCTATAATCCATACATTGAATACTATCTGTGCCCATATGTACACATAATGGGCAACGAGCTGATGGCCCATACCTGGCTTATCTGTATATCAATGGTTGGCTGGACTATTGGCATAGTATTACACTATCATGATATTGATAATAGTCTATACATAATATGGTTGTCTCATCTAATACAACACAATCGTATTATACATCCATTGAATTACATGAATAAACAAAAGTTTGCTAAACATATAAAACTACAGTTCATGATTTGTATAAAACATTTATTCAAACAGTCGATTATCCTAACCATAACTGTCCATTCAATTTGTAATATAATAGCATATATGACTGCTACCGATGCTGATGATGATGATAGCCGACAATCGTTAGTAATGCTAATAATTTGGATATTACTTAAACTAATAATGTTAGTACAAATATTTAGCCTGTTATGGGGTGGCGTAACATTTTGGCTAACATTTACCTATTATTTGAAACTAAAATTTAAGGAAATTAATAGAAAAATTGAAATCAGTCTCCAATCTGGTAATAGTCTACAGCTATGGCAAGCAATTGTTGAACACAAATATGTTGAATACATGACCCGTGATTTTAATCATACATTTTGTTATATTTTATTTGTACTCTACTATATGGCCACACCTGGATTTCAGGTTATACTATATGGTGTCTATAAATCTGATACCACATCTATTGGTCAATTGTTTTATTTGTTTTTGACTGTATTTTGTTTTTGTGCTGTCATTATGATGACTATTATGTGCACTCGTGTCAGTCAATCGGCACATAAGTCCTATGATATTATGTTTAGATATTTTGCTCAAAATAGTAGATATAAACGAAACAATACACGAATGGCACTAAAAGTTTCACAATTTATGGACAGACTATCGGGACCTGTGATTGGACTCTATTGTTATAATTTGTTTCCGATGACTAGTTATGAGTTTTATCAATTTGTACACATATCTGCAATTAACTATATTTTAATTATGACTTTATTTTAAATCATTAAAGTTACATATTGTTTTTAAACTAAATTATTATATTAAAAAAAATATTAAATTTTTAAAAATATAAGTAGTTAATTTTATAATATATCATATATAGAGTATATACTGTGAATGTAATTATAGTAATTGCTTTTTAATTGCTTTTTAATATGATATTAATAAGTAATTTTATTATTAAATTATTTTTATTATTATATTAAATTGTAAGATATAATAATTAATATATTTAAAAAATTATTTATTATTGTTGATATAATTATTTTATCTAAAAAAACTCATATAATATTTTTCATATAAAACATATTATTGATTTCTAAAAACATTTAATTACAATATATTTGTATTCCGTATTAAATTGGTATTAATTATTAAAAAAAAATTATATTATAAAAATCAAATATTAGTAGTTATAAAAATATATTATTGTATTTTAGTAGTTATTTTAAGAAATTATTCTATTAAAAAAACTAAATAATTCTACAATAATATAATAGAAATTTTGCATGTTTCAATAATAAAAAAAAATATTCATGTATTTATATATTTATATATTAATAATAAAATTTAATATTATATTAATAAATTATAATGATATTATTAACTAATAATGTAATGTACATAATTTTATTACTTAATTTATTTAATGTAAATTTTGCATGTCTACAGTGTAGAAAAAAATATTAGCAATAATTATACATTAGCTTTAATATTAGTATTAACAAATTATTAGAAAATTTTTACTTATTTATTTAGATTTGTGACTTTAGATATATTTCAATATTATAATAGTTTTTATTTTTTAAAAATTGTTATATAAATAATACAAAAATATCTGTATGATATAAATAATTATAACTATTTTTTGTTTTTATTTTTTTTTATATAATAATCGACAATTTAGAGTTTAATTTATTATTTTCACTTAAATATTTATATATTTATTTAATTGATTTTTTTATTGTAAATTATAGAAAATAGATATATTAATACTATTACATTTAATTACAATTATTTTTATTTATTTAGCAAAATATGTGTTTATTTTAATTTTTGATTGATTGTGACAACAAATTTTTAAATAAAAAAATAATACACATATCTTATAAACAATTTATAAAGATTAAAATATATTTATAATTAGTTATTTAAAAAATGTTTAATAATAAACTAGTAAAAATCATTATAAATGTTATTATATTTATAATTAGTATACCCACTTATTTGATTATATATGTAAACATTAATTTAAATATTTATAATATAATCACACGTATTGAACACTTTGCTGAAAGCAATTATCTGATATTGTTTTCAACTATTGATGACCAATACTATAGGCGATCATATAGTCGAAAGCTATTATGGAAATCATTGATAATAAAAGTGATTTGTTTACCAAATATTATCCGATTTTTTATCAGTGGATCTACTGATAGTCGGCTATGGTTGGCACTGGTATGCGATTGGACAAGACTACTGGGTAATCAATATCTACTATCTCATTGGTTGGCCTTATTTTTTGGCTACTGGTTTCTATGTAGTATCAATTGGTTATACCAGGACTGCAGTGATGACTATCAAAAGTTCTGGTCATTTATCTATGCCATCAAATATGATAGACTAGAATATCCATTAAATTATTTACACAATAGATGTTATCTAATTTTCATAAATACACTGAGTTTAGTGCTTATAAAATTATTTTATCATTTAGCTTATGTAGTAATTATAATTGAAAATACATTACTAACAATGATAGCCTATTGGTATTATTCAAATATGTCCATGATCAATTTAGTTTACTGGAACTTAATTGTAGCAATAGGTGCTATACATTTAATATCGATAATTATTTATTTAAGCTTGATAAATTCAATCACTATTGGCTATATTATATTAAAACTATGGGAGGTTTACAAAAATTTTATCAGTGCATTGAAATTAGGTAATACTAGAAAATTTATCAAGGCCATACACGAGCATTACTATGTTAGCACTATAATAGCCACTGTCAACAAATATCTGTGCGCCTGGATATGCCTAACCTATTATCTATGGTTTACTAATTTCATATTTATACTATACTGTTTCAGACACATTGAAATTGGACTGACTATACGATTGATACTATTAATCTATGTGGTGTGTATGGCTGTATTTGGATTTTTGATGTCGATGCCCATCATTGTAGTTAACAAACTGGCCCATAGACCACTATCACTGATTTATCGATATCTAAATCAATGGCCAGTTATGTCACTTAGTCAACGACTTATTATAGATAAGTTTATTGTTCGTCTATCGACTGGACCAGTGATTGGTATATATTGTTATGACTTTTTCCCTATAATTAGTATTGAAATATTTTTATATATTGTTATATGTTTTAACAACTATTTATTGTTTATTAATATGTTTGGTTGAATTTATTTAATTAATGTTAGTCATATATTTATTACCACTATTGTAATAAATAGTTAATGTTTTTTATTATGTTTTTCTAATATAACAATTATTATAATTATTATATAAATCAAAATAGACTAAAATTTTCATTTGATAAAAAATATTTAATTGTATAAAATATTTTATTATATAATAAAAAACCTCCGTTATTTTATAGCTAATAAATTCAAACATAATTTATATTTTTATTTATTTATATTATTTCTGTATATTTTATTTAGTAAAATATATTTTAATTTGCACAACAATAAGCTATTTAATTAATTAATGTATTGTAAATAAATAATACACTATTCAAAATAATAACTTATAATATTAAGATATAAATGCATTTTAACTAATAATTTTGTAGTCATTTATGTTAACACAAAAAAAATTAATTTATATTTATTTTGTTGTGTAATTTTAGAACTAAATTTATTATTTGTTTATAAATTAAATTAATTACAACATTTATAAATTTTTATTAATACATTTATATATCATAATTTTATAAATTTTATTAGTGAAACATATAGTACATATACTTTATTAAATAATTATTTAATTGTAAAAGTAAATTATAGAAATATTATTTATTTATTTTTAAATTATACTATTAATGGTAATATTAATATATAGCTGAACAGTATAATTAAAATTTAGTTAATGTATTACACGAACATTTTCATAACTTATTGACTTTTATTATTATTATAAAAATGTTTGATTTTTTATAATTATTAATGATTTACTGAAAACTATATTAATTTTAAAGTTAATAATGCAATATATCAATATATCGACTAATTTGTAACTTCAAATTTCTAATATTTATAATAATATAAAATCTACTTTATTTGATTATAACTGTACTGTATATATACTACAATATTATATTTTAAACATAATTGTTAAAAGCAAACTAGAAAAATGTTTGTTTTATTAATTATTTTAAGTAATTTTTTCTTTGATAAAATGACGTTCATTAATAAAACAATAAAATTCATTATTAATATTATAATATTTATAATTAGTATACCCACTTATTTGATTATATATGTAAACATTAATTTAAATATTTATAATATAATCACACGTATTGAACACTTTGCTGAAAGCAATTATCTGATATTGTTTTCAACTATTGATGACCAATATTATAGGCAACCATATAATCGAAAGCGATTGTGGAAATCATTGATAATAAAATTGATTTGTTTACCAAATATTATCCGATTTTTTATCAGTGGATCTACTGATAGTCGGCTATGGTTGGCACTGGTATGCGATTGGACAAGACTACTGGGTAATCAATATCTACTATCTCATTGGTTGGCCTTATTTTTTGGCTACTGGTTTCTATGTAGTATCAATTGGTTATACCAGGACTACAGTGATGACTATCAAAAGTTTTGGTCATTTATCTATGCCGTCAAATATGATAGACTAAAATATCCATTAAATTATTTACACAATAGATGTTATCTGATTTTCATAAATACACTGAGTTTAGTGCTTATAAAATTATTTTATCATTTAGCTTATTTAGTAATTATAATTGAAAATACATTACTAACAATGATAGCCTATTGGTATTATTCAAATATGTCCATGATCAATGTAGTTTACTGGAACTTAATTGTAGCAATAGGTGCTATACATTTAATATCGATAATTATTTATTTAAGCTTGATAAATTCAATCACTATTGGCTATATTATATTAAAACTATGGGAGGTTTACAAAAATTTTATCAGTGCATTGAAATTAGGTAATACTAGAAAATTTATCAAGGCCATACACGAGCATTACTATGTTAGCACTATAATAGCCACTGTCAACAAATATCTGTGCGCCTGGATATGCCTAACCTATTATCTATGGTTTACTAATTTCATATTTATACTATACTGTTTCAGACACATTGAAATTGGACTGACTATACGATTGATACTATTAATCTATGTGGTGTGTATGGCTGTATTTGGATTTTTGATGTCGATGCCCATCATTGTAGTTAACAAACTGGCCCATAGACCACTATCACTGATTTATCGATATCTAAATCAATGGCCAGTTATGTCACTTAGTCAACGACTTATTATAGATAAGTTTATTGTTCGTCTATCGACTGGACCAGTGATTGGTATATATTGTTATGACTTTTTCCCTATAATTAGTATTGAAATATTTTTATATATTGTTATATGTTTTAACAACTATTTATTGTTTATTAATATGTTTGGTTGAATTTATTTAATTAATGTTAGTCATATATTTATTAACACTATTGTAATAAATAGTTAATGTTTTTTATTATGTTTTTCTAATATAACAATTAATATAATCATTATATAAATCAAAATAGACTAAAATTTTTATTTCATAAAAAAGATTTAATTGTATAAATATATAAATTTTATTAATGAAATATATAGTACTTTATTAAGTAATCATTTAATTGTAAAAATAAACTATAGAAATATTATTTATTTATTTTTAAATCATACAATATAAATATTAATTATATATTATATAATAGTACAGTATATTATTATAATATTAATATATAGTTGTTCAGTATAATTAAAATTTAGTGTATGTATTAATCAAACATTTTTATTACATATTGACTTTTATTATTATTATAAAAATGTTTGATTTTTTAATAATTATTAATGATATACTTAAAACAATATTATTTTTAATGTTAATTAATCAATATATCGACTATTTTTGAACTTCAAATTTTCAAAATTTATAATAGTATAAAATCTATTTTACTTGATATATATATATATATATATCAGGGTTAAGCAAGGTTTTGGATTTTAGGGGGGTAGACCGGGGTAAAATTTACAAAATTCTCAAAAAATCTTGGGGGGGGGGGGGTATTGGGTGGGGTAAGATTTTTATTGCATTTTTAAACGGCAATTTTTTAAAAAATCCAAAATCAAGGGGGGGGTCTAGAGAAAATTCCCTAAAAATTCCTTAAGTTCCCGAATATTCCCATGTAAATTCAATAAAATTCCCACAAGTTCCCGTATAAATTCCCGGGAAAATAGGTAAAATTTCCAAAAATATAAAAAAAAACTTAAAAAACTTAAAAATTAACAAAAATTTAAATTTTAACAAAAAATAAATATTTTTTAAAAAAAAATTTTAAAATTAATAAAAACTTAAATTTTAACAAAAAAAAAATAAAATAATGTTATTATAAATAATTTAAGATTTAAAAATAGTTGATAAAAGCATTAATGATACACTATGAGTTATTTTTAGTATTTTAATAATTTTTAACTTTTAACATAATTAATTTTTTAAACAATACTTAATGTTTATAGTTTGTTATATATTTTTATTTTTATACAAATACTGACTGAATACTACTTATTTAACTCAAATTTCGTTAAAGTTTAATTATATTAAGTACAAAATTGAAAATATTTTTAAATTTTTTATTTAAAATTTAAAAATTATTAATAAAAACATAAGTATTTATTGTTTTATTAACTTCTTAAACTTATATTTAAATTGTAATATGATTACTCTTTTCAACAAATAGGTAATTTTTAATTTTTTAGTTTATTTTAATTAAAATAATGTTATTTTTTGATGACTTTTAACGTTATTTTAACTATTTTTAACCAATAATTAGATTTTTATAAATATTAAAAACATAAAAACACTTACAAAAATAGTATCAACTAAAATTAAAATTTTTATAAATTTCAAAAAAATTTTCGGCGCCCTCGGCGCCGAAATTTTAGGGGGGGGGGTCATTTTTCCTCGTTTTTAAGCGACAATTTTTTCAATTTGGTCAAAAAGTCTGGAGGGGGTAAAATCCCAATTTCTCGATCTTAGGGGGGGTATTTTGGCCTTACCCCCCCATTACTTAACCCTGATATATATATATATATATACTATTTTAAACATAATTGTTAAAAGCAAACTAGAAAAATATTTTATTAATTATTTTAAGTAATCTTTTTTATTTATAAAATGAAGTTCACTATTAAAATAATAAAATTCATTATTAATATTATAATATTTATAATAAGTTTTCCCATTTATTTGTTAGTTTATCTAAATTTAAATCTAAATATTTATAATATAATTACACGTATTGAACACTTTAATCAAAGCAATTATCTGACATTGTTTGCCACTATTGATGACCAATACTATAGGCGACCATATAATCGAAAGCAATTGTGTATATCATTGATAATGAAATTGATTTGTTTAGTAAATATTATCCGATTTGTTATCAGTGGATCTACTGATAGTCGGCTATGGTTGGCACTGGTATGCGATTGGACTGAACTATTGGGCAATCGATATCTATTTTCCTATTGGTTGGTCCTATTTTTTGGCTACTGGTTTCTATGTTTTGTCAATTGGTTATACCAGGATTACAGTGATGGTGATGATAAATACCATAAATTTTGGTCATTCATATATGCTATCAAATATGATAAGATTAAATCACCGCTAAATTATCTAAATCATAGATATTTTCTGATTTTTACTAATACATTAAATATCTATTGAATGCAATTATTTAATAAAATTTCCTACATAACACTGATTATACAACATACAGTGCTAACAATGTCAGCTTACTATTGGTTTTATCCAAATATCACCATGGTCAATGTAATTTATTGGACAATAATCGGTGCATTAGGTGCTATACATTTGATATCAATAGTAAGCTATCTGAGCATAATAATTGCGGTGTCTATAGTTTATTTATTGTTAAAATTATGGGAAGTTAACCAAAAATTTAACTGTGCACTCAAACAGGGTAATATTGGCAAATTGTTAAGCACCATACATGAGCACTACTATGTTAGCACTATGATAGCCAATGTCAACAATTATCTGTGCGCCTGGATATGCCTAACCTATTATCTATGGTTTACTAATTTCATATTTATATTATACTGTTTCAGACACATTGAATTTGGACTGATTGTACGATTTATACTATTGATATTTGGACTGATTTTGACAGTATTTGGATTTATATTGTCGCTGCCTATTATAGCTGTTAACAAACAGGCTCATAGACCACTGTCACTGATGTACCGGTATCTAAATCAATGGCCAGTTATGCCAATCAGATATCAACTAACTATTGATAAGTTTATTGAACGTCTATCGACTGGACCAGTGATTGGTATCTATTGTTATGATTACTTTCCTATTATTAGTATTGAAATATTTTTCTATTTGTTTATGTGTTTTAATAATTATTTATTGTTTATCAATATGTTTGGTTAAATAAATAATTATAATTGTTTTTAAAATACATTACAAATTTACTTAAGTTTATTCCCTAATTATTTATAATGTAATGAAGTTTATTATTTATTGATTTTTTTTAAATATAAAAAAATTTTAGTATAATATTAAATACAGTAATTTATTGATTTTTTTAAAAAAACTACAAAACAATCAAATTAATCGTTATATTAATAAAATATTTTATTTTATGTAATAAATATGTATAAGTATATTGAATATTCATATATAAATTTTAAAACGAAAAAAAATATTTAATTTATTATCAATATCAAAAAACCTAAGTTAATTTTACAATTTTATAAATTATAAAAAGTTAATTTTAAAAAATAATTGTATAAAAATTAATAAATAAATCTTATTAATAGTTAATTTTTATTCACTGAAATTAATGCTATATATATATATGAAATACAACAAATAAAAACTAAAATTTTATTAATTTATAATTAAATGTAAATACAATATTAGTTTAGTAGTATTTCTATTTATAATAAATTTATATAAAGTATATTATTAATTACATTCAGTAATGATTACTTTTAGATGACTAACTAAATAGTTTATTATGAATTATTTTTTTTGTCTACCGGTGCCGCCCGCAGGACAAACACCACTCTTTTAAACGTTTGTATTGTTCAGGTTTTTCCTCTGACCACTTATAGGCGCCCAAAATGACGACACCAGTTGATACCAGAGCTGCACCAATAGCTGCTGTACCGTTAAACGCGCCGTTCAGCACCAGTACGTCCCATACAAATGATAATACTATGGTCAGTGTGCGGGCTATCGATGCCGGACCGGCACTCTCGTATCGCAAGGCTACTGTCATAAAAAGTTGATCGCCGATACCGGTAATACCGATGGCCAACAATAGTGTCCACACACGCCAACCGACTGGCCATCTGAATTGATCCCACATTAGCAGTGTGGCCAACGTAGCAATCATTATGGCTACCGAATACCAGACAACAACTACGGCTACCGGTGCCGATTTGAGTCGTCTCAGTGTAATAATGGCCATAGCGTTGCCAAACGCACCCATAATTGCCGACAGTAAGCCTTCGATATGGCCGTACGGTATGACATAGTTTGGACTGAATAGAAGTTTTGGTCGGGCAATGACCACAACGCCCGACAACGTTATGGTTCCGGTCAGCACCTGGAGTATTGTTAGCGGCTCTTTCAGTATAAAATAGGCAAACAGTGTGACGAATACGGGCGACGAAAACTGTATGGTTGTCGCATCGGACAATGGTATCAAACCGAAGGCCATAAAACTGCCCATCGATGATACGGTACCGTAGAGTCCGCGCATAAATAGCTGAACCCGCGAACCCGATTCGCCGGCCAGTGGTTGACCTTTGACCAGTGCGTAGACCAAGTTTACCAGGAATTGGACCGTACATCTGGATATAATTTTGAACAGTTAGGATAAGGTTAGGTTAGATACAGTTTTATAGACATTTAGCATTTTTTGTTGTTTTGTTTGTGATAATTAATAGATAGTTTGAAACTTTATTTTTTATTGTATTATTAATAATTATAGTTTACTATAGAATATTATTTAAATATTTTTTATATTTATTTTTTGTATAATTTCTATTTTCCATAAAACTACCGTTTGTTTAAACATTTATAAATGCATTATTTAAATTTTTTTAAATGTATATTTTTATAGTAAAGCTTAGATTATAACCTAACTTAATCTAAACTAAATAAACTAATTATAATATTTTAATAACATATTTCATAATTATTAATACTAATAATAATGTTAATGAAAATAATGTTTTTTAAAAAAAATATATACTTTAATATAAATAAAATTTATTTTCAATGTGAAGGACACACACACACATACACACAGACCTAAAAAATAGGACTTCCAGTGAATGCAATTCTGGCAACAATTTGATGATAAGACTGCCCAACGAATAGGATGTAGCGCTCAATGCCATCAAAATGATGCCAAACGCCGGTATGTTTTCCGGTAAACATTTGATCCAATTTTTTTGGACCGATTTTTTATTATTATTAATTACTACGACTACTGGCGCTGCAATTGTTGTCATAACATTATGATCCCGTTCCTTGCATTTAGTATTATCAATAGTAGTTAACAAATCAATGATTACTTCATTGTGATTATTAATGTCCAAACTTTTTTCCGCATATATTATTTGATTTGTATTTTTTGCTGGCAATTGTTTGCCGCTTATATCGCACTGAAGTTTATTATTATTTTTCATTGTATAAAAAATTTAATATTTACTTTATTAATAGTTATTTAAGTTTTTTTTAAATTTAAATTTAGTTATATAGCTAAAAAAAAGATTAAATATTTAATTGGTTTTTTCTTATTTAAACATAACTATTATTATTACTACTATTCAAATTTAATAATGTTTTTCACAAAATATATTATCAAATAAATATTTAGAAATTTATTTTATTAATTTCAATGACTTTCAACACACAATTAATTGGCTTTCAATTTCTATCAATGAATTTCACTTATAAACGTAAATTCCCGCAGAAATCACAGATCAAGTGTTTTGTTGTCTCACATATCAAACAAACAATAATAATGGTTTTGATTTGATTTATTTGATTTGATTTTATTTTGATGGTGTCTTTTATGTGTAAAATTTAAGTGTCTAACCAAACAATTAAAACATCAAATATTAATACTACTCTATTCGTTAGTTTATTTGTATTATAATATACTGTACTATTTGGTGATATAAATTTTCAAGAAAATTTTCAACAAAAAAAATCTAATCATAAATATTTTAGTTAATTATCTAATTATATATAGATATATTTGTATATATATACAAATATATCTATCTATATATATATATACCTATCATTACATTTATTTTATAATTAATCTAATATTTAGTAAATGTAAACAAAAAAGTTTTATGTTTATGTATTAATTTTTCTTTTTAATTAGTTTTAGACTTTAAATTATATCGTTTGTAATAATAATAATAATAATTATTATTATTACAAAACAAAAGATATTACTGTTATATTAATTTCTAAAATAATTTTGTTTAGTAATTAGAAATTACAAAATATTAGTAATTGTATAATTTTAAAATAATTAATATATTTTTTTAAAAAATATATCAGTACATATTTTTCTAATAAAGTATATTAATCATAATTAATTTGAATGCATGTGTTTAAAGTCAATAAAATAGATAATTTTTTTAAAAAAATATTAGTTTTATTAACACTAAAGATATGATAAGGAGTTGTTAGTTATGATAATAATTATTTTTTTTTGCTAATAAGTTATATTATAAATATACAGTAAATTTATAATTTTGTATATTAAAAAAGTATGCATAAGTTATAGTAAAGTTAAACAATGATATTAATTAATCAATTGATAAAGTATTGATAAAATAAAATAACCAGTAATAGCTGGATTTTTTACTATAATATAATAGTTATAATATATATATATATATATATATATATATATATATATATATATATATATATATATATATATATATATATATATATATATAAGTATATATTATAACCAAACTATTAAATTATCAATATTTATAATTTGGCATTTTGTATACAGTATAAATACTATTAATAGTATAATTTAATATACATTTTTGTTTTTACACAAAAAAGTTCAACATTTTTTTTAATCATTCAGTATATAATTTTTGTTGTTTACTATATATTGTTTAGAGATTACAAAAATATTTTAATATTTTAAATAAGTTTGTAAAATTAAATAATGATATAAAATTTGTTTTATGTAAATAATTATTTTATTTTATTTATAGTAATTAAAGTGATAAACAATTATGATATAGATATAACAGTAAATATACAACATATTAATTTAATTATTTATTCAAGATATACTTATATTATTAATTTAATTATAAAATTTTTAAAAATTAAATTAATAATATATATATATAATATTAACATTAAATGGATATATAAATGCTTTAATTAAATTACAAAAATTTGTAATAATAATTACTTAATTTTTAAAAAATAGAAATAAATACTTATGAGATTCATTTCTACCATTAAGATAATAATTAACAAATATAAATGTGAACATGATAAAAATTTCTAAAAAATAATAGAAAATCTACAATAAAATTACATCAAAATATAATTTTAATACATTAATTAAAAATATTCTATAATAATTAAAACTATAGTTAATAATTACAAAATTGTTTTTTTTAATATAACAAATCAAGGAAACAGTAACTCTAAGAAAACAAATATAATTGAAAAGAAAATTAATTAATTTATTACTAATGCAAACATTTAAAAAATTGGTTTTGTCTATAAAACAATATATTTATACTCAACTATTTTTTTCGACCACAATATCGGGACTGTCATCCCTGAGCTTAGCAAAACTTTCTTCGCGTTTCATTGTCGACGATTTGGCTGATGGTATGCGCAGACCGGCCACCACTACTCCTTCTCCAGTAGTTGTCGAGTCTCTTCTCTTATCATCGATACTATCATAGTATGCCTGAGACGACTGTCTGTGTATAATAAGTACATCGCTTTCCTCCTGTTCCCTGTAGAGGTCCTGTCTATCGGGACAACAACAACAGTAACAACACAGTCGGCGCCGGCATCTGTCAAACTGTTCAGGTTTTTCGGCTTTCCATTTGCACACACCTAACAGTACTATACAAAAGGAGACAACTATAGCGCCGACAACACTAAGCAAATCAAATTGTTCGCCAATTATGGTTACATCCCATATGAATGCCAATACAATATTTAGGGTACGTGTGATGGCTACCGGTCCGGCACTTTCATAATGCAGTGCAATAGTCATAAAGTACTGGTCGCTTATGCCGAGTATACCGATAGCTACGAGCATACAGTACTGAAACCAACCGTGCGGCCATCGCCACTGGCCAATCGATAGTACCACTGTTAAACTGGTCAGCATTGCTACAGTGGAAAACCATACGCAAACCACTGGTATGGGTGTTGTACGCAATTTCCTCAAAATCAACATAACAGTTGCCGTCGACAGCATAGCTATTACCGAAAATATTAGTCCCTCAGTACGTCCCGGAGCCGAAAACGGATCGCTACCGAATATAAACTCTGGCCGTGCAATGATGATGACACCGCCCAGTGTAATAATACCGGTGATAAACTGTAGCCAAGTTAACGGTTCTTTCAGTACAAATACGGCCAGAAATATGACGACTACTGGTGCTGTAAACTGTATGGTAGTGGCATCGCCTAGTGGTATCAGTCGATAGGCCTGATAGATGAATATGGCAGCCGATGTACCGGCAAATGCACGTAGAAATAGATCAAAACGGTGGCCAGGTACACCAAATATGGGTAGACGGTGCCGGATGATTGGCACAATGTAGAATAGTACTTGAAATGCGCACCTGTAGGTTTTTTATGATGATAGATAAGTGATAAAAAATTAGTACACAATTGTTATTATCATATTATTATTATTTATATATAAATTATTGCTACTGTATATATATAATTATTGTTGTTATTTATTATGTAATATGAATTATTAATTGTGATTATGATAAATATTGTAAATTAAATATAACATTTAATTAATGTATCACTTTAAATTATAAACAGGATGTATTTTATTATGATTTATAAATTATCTTTAAAAAAAATTTAATTTGATCTTGTATAAATGTTATTGACCTAGATAGATTTTTTAATTTAAAAGATTAAAAAAATATTTATATATTTTGTAAAAAAACTATTTAAAAAATCATATCTAAAATTAAAGTTAAAAAATATATATCTATTTAAAATATTTTAACATACTAAAATTAATTTAAAGTTTCTGTAAAAGTTTTTAAAAATATATACTGTATATATATAAAAATATCTAGCACATTTGTATAAATTATTATAAATATCATACAAGTACACTTTACTAAATTATTGTAAATTTTATTTACAGTATAATAATTAAACTTATAAACTGTAATTTTATAAACTAAGTAATATTAATTTGTATACAATAAATAAATTAAGTTAATGATAAATTATTAGTTATTAATGTTACTTTATATATAATGATTTATTAAATAATTAATTTTTAATTAAAAATTTCTATAAATATTATAAAATTATATTTTAAGTTGGCTATAAATTGCTTAGTTATTTATTCTAATTTTTCTCAAAAAACTTTTTAAAATTTTCATTATTTATGTTTTATAAAACTTGGTAAACATTTTTTTCATCAAAAAATATTTTTAATAAACTATTAAATGTATAAAAATTAATTAATTTTATAAATAATAAAAATAATAATTATATACAAACCTAATGGACAGTACCTCCAGAGAGTGCAAATCAGTCAGAACTTTGACTATAAGACTGGCCACCGAAAAGCTAACGACACTGAATATCGACATCATTATACCGAAAGCCGGTATCATATCGGGTATTGAGCGGCGTTTTTTCGGCTGATTGTCGACACCTAGTATACAGCTGCACACTATCTCCCGGTGCTCGTCGCCATGTTCATCGCCATCATCAAGCAATGCATTTTCATCGGCAATATTGTGATGTCGACCAGTAGTGCCGGCATTGTTATCGTTGCCATCTTTGCCGTCCAATTGAGTATAACCGGTGTCCGAGTCTTTCACAACAATCACATGCATTTCAATTGACTGTATAATTGATTGTATAATTTACTTATATATTTGTATATATATTTAAATCCTAATAAACTAGGAAATAATTGGATTAATTTCAAAATTATTTATTAATTAAAATAAATATAAGTAAAAATAATTTTTCATTTTAGGAAAAGTTTGTTGTTTAGAATTAAATTAAAAATACAAAAATGAAGTTATAATAAACTAAATATTAATATTTGTTATTTTTTCCGAAAAATTATTTTTATTTACTTATAATGACAAACTTGTTATTCATATTATTGAATTGAATTTTTTTTTGTTAACTGATAATAATTTTATTTAATTTAAAACACATATTTTCTATTAAAAACAGATATAAATATTTATATATAAACACTCATTTTATGTGTCACTTATTACTTATTAATATTATTAGTTAAAAATACTGTAAAAATCAATGTTTGCTTTATATCATATCATATCAATATTTTTAACAGATATTTACCATGAATTCAATGTACTATTAAGTGAATGATAATTAAACATTTTTTTGTCTGATCATTAAGTTGTGTGTTAGTTATCTTCAATGAAAAAAAAAACCTCTCAAACAAAACAACTTAAAGTCTACAATGAAATTATCAGTTAATATAACATATATATATATGAAAAACTTAAATAAAATAATTTAATTAATAAAATTAATGAATTTTAGTTAAATGAGCAAAAACTTGTTTTTAACAAAAATAAGAGATATAAACAATAATTGGAAATTTTGAAACTATTTTTTATTAATAATTATAATTAAATATTAATATGTATTACCGTATATTATAATAAAAAATACAATAATTATAACATTTACGATAGTATTTAAAAAAATGATTTTTAAATAAACGCTATTATTATTATAAAATTTTTTTTAATTACCGGTAAGTATTAGTTATCGAAAAACATTTCAAACTCTTTTAAGTCGTCATCAGTTTTCAGAAATTGTGGCAAAAAGTTATGATAAAGAAAATCAATGATTTGTTTATAAGATTTGCTGTCAAATGAGGGAACCGTTTGTTTGATTAAACGCCAGTTTTTCATCAATGCGTTAAACGATGAAATGTTTGCAAACTTTTCCTTAATTTCGTCCCAATCGATGGCTGACTCGTCTGTGAATTCATATTTAAACAAACAATATATTAGTCGTGCGGTGTCTCTCTTAGACCAACTGTCCTCTAATTGATCCCATTGTGCTAATTGCCATCTAATGTGTCTTCTCCAACGTTTAGATATCATATTTTCATTCCTATTCAAACCCGACAAATCCCTGATTTGACTGAACGGTAATTGTTTGGTATAAATATGTTGTTTGAGATCATCGGTGTTCAGCACTCGTCTCATTGCATCCAATAGTTGTTTGTCTTCATCTATACTCCACTTTCCCTTATCATATGGTTCGCCATTTTTATTAAAATTATTACTATAATACCATTTCAATGTCAGCGGATAACACATAAATTTTTCAGCAATTTTAGTCCATTTTGCGCCATATATTGAATGATAATGTTTTATACTGTTGACGACATCATCTGATAAGTCATTAATGTATTTTAATTTATGAAAATTATTTCTAGCGGTGTCATGAATTTGTTTAAGCGTACGGTTAGGCAAACCATTGGCCAATCGTAGGTAAAACTGTGAACTTTTCATGAATTCCCGGATCTCTTTCCTTTGTTTTTTGGTATATCTATCACTGAATGCAAAGTAACCCAATAAACGTGTTTTCAGGTCTTCATCGCAATTAAATTCATTACAAAATTGATCCCAATTTAGTTTCAATATTTCCAACTCATATTTACTAAATTTTAATTTTAGTATTTTTAAATTATTTTCTTTAATTAATTGCCTATCCTTTAGATTTAATCGCGGATAAGGTATGAGTCGATGTAATGGAGAGTTACTTATAAGACATTTATTTGTATTGTTGTTACTATTATTAAAATTACTATTATTCTGACAATTAATTGATTGTGTATTGAATGCAATGCTTGTAATCGCATTGTTTGTCACACAGTTTGCGACACTTTTATCATTCATTACTTGTTTGTCATTCATTTGTGAATCAATTGATTGATTTAACACTTCTTTGTCAACAACTGTCTGTCTATTCTCATAATTGTCTGAATTATTATTATTATTATTATTAACTGATTGTACAGTAAATCCATATTTACTATAATTATTCAAACATTTGTCCAAAACTTTATTAAATTCTTGACAATTATTGTTTGTATTATTAATAGAGTTAACAGTAATACCAAATTTGTTGTAATTGTTTTTAAATCTTTTATTGCACTTATCGTAATCACAATCTGTGACCACAAAACCGTATCGTTTGTATTGTTTTCTATTCATTACTTTTTGACAAAAATTCATTAAAAAATAACTTTAAAAAACATTTGAAAACATTTTTACATTTATTTTATTATATAATAATAATAACAACTTAGATATAATTGTATTTGTTTTATACCATTTTATTTATTGTTTCACACACTGGAAAAATATTATTACATAATATAACAGTTAATATTATTAATGAAATATTTAAAAAAAAATTTTTTATCAATTATTAATAATTGTTATTGTGTTTCACGTGTTGTTGTTTTCATTGATTGACTGACATTATGATTACATCACTGTTTGAATTGAAAATAATTTCATACATTCATACATACAGTACGCTATATATTAATATATTATATGTATTTTTCTGCAGTTAAATGACTAATTTTTATTTTTTAAAATTATATTTAACAAAATTTTATTATAAATAGTAATAAACATAGTTTAAAATTTGAACTTTAAATGAAAATTATACAGTAAGTAATTAAATAACATTTATATATAGGCTTAGGTTAATAGATATTTTTAACGTTAACTATATTTTTTTCATTTACCTGTATATTAACTAATATTTATGATTGACATATTATGATAATATTAAATATTATTGTCCTATTAAGTATAAACAAATAACAGTTTTTATAGTTTTTATAATTATTGTTATAATAAGTAGTAAATTATAAATTTTTATTGTTTTTATTTACTTAAAATTGATTAATCATTGAAAAACAATTCAAATTCTTTCAAATAGTCAATACCTCTATCATTATTAGTGATAAATTGTGGCAAAAAGTTGTTATAAAGAAAATCAATAATTTGTTTATACGATTTGCTTTCAAATGAGGGAACCGTTTGTTTAATTAAACGCCAGTTTTTCATCAATGCGTTAAACGATGAAATGTTTGCAAATTTTTCCTTAATTTCGTCCCAATCGATGGCCAATTCATCGGTAAAGTCATATTTAAACAGACAATATATGAGTCGTGCGGTATCTTTTTGTGTCCAACTATCCTCTAATTGATCCCATTGGGCTATTGACCACCGAAGTTTTGCTAACCAATGGCTATGTATTTGATAGTAACTCCTATTAATATCAATTTCATCTACAATTTGGTTAAACGGTATGCTTTTGGTATAAATATGTTGTTTGAGATCATCGGTGTTCAGCACTCGTCTCATTGCATCCAATAGTTGTTTAGTTTCATCCGGACTCCACTTTCCCTTATCAAATGGTTCACCATTTTTGTTAAAATTATTTTTATAATAGATCTTTAATGACATGGGATAACTCATAAATTTTTCAGAAATTTTAGTCCATTTTGCGCCATATATTGAATGATAATGCCTTATACTGTTTACGTCATCGTCGGATAAATCTTTTAAATATTTCAATGAATGAAAATTAATTCTTGCTTTAAAATAGATGTGATAAATAGTACGGTTAGGCAAACCATTGGCCAATCGCAGCAAAAACTGTGAGCTTCTCATAAATTCACGAAAGTCTGTCCTCTCTTTTTTGGTATATCTCTGGCTTAAAGCAAAAAATCCTAATAAACGTGTTTTCATGTCTTCATCGCAGTTATAGTCTTCACAAAACTTATCCCAATTTTCTTTCAATATATTTATCTCATGTTTACTAAACTTTCCTTTAATTACTTTAATATTATTTTCTTTAATTATTTTCTTTTCCTTTAAATTATTTCGTGCATAAGGTATGAGTCGATGTAACGGAGAGTCACTTATAAGACAATTATTAGTATTGATATTAATATTATTACTATTGTGACAATAATTGACTGATTGTGTATTGAATGCAGTATTTGTCACATCGTTTTGAATACTTTTATCACTCATTACTTGTTTGTCATTTATGTGACAATCAATTGATTGATTTAACACTTCTTTTTCAACAAATGTATATCTCTTTTCATAATTGTCTGAATTATTATTATTATTATTAACTGATTGTACAGTAAATCCATATTTACTATAATTATTCAAACATTTGTCCAAAACTTTATTAAATTCTTGACAATTATTGTTTGTATTATTAATAGAGTTAACAGTAATACCAAATTTGTTGTAATTGTTTTTAAATCTTTTATTACACTTATCGTAATCACGATCTGTGACCACAAAACCGTATCGTTTGTATTGTTTTCTATTCATTACTTATTGACAAAAATTCACTAAAAAATAACTTTAAATAACATTTGAAAACAATTTTCCATTTATTATATTATAAAATAAAAACAACTTAGATATTAATTGTATTTGTTTTATATCATTTTATTTATTGTGTAAAATGAAATATTTTTTAAAAAAATTATATTAATTATTGTTATTGTGTTTCACGTGTTGTTGTGTTTTGTTTATATAATTAACAGACATATCGATGACATCACTGTTTGAATGCAATCATAGCATACTTTCATACATACATTACGTTATATATTTTAGTATAATATATATCATAAATATTTTCATAAATTATATTTACTACTAACTTGTAAGTAAAAAAATTAAAACTAAAAACAATAACATTAAATAAATAATTATTGATATTACAAGTTATAATAAATAGGATTTTAATAATAAATATAATACTACAACAAATAAATAAATAAATTTTGAATATTTATAATATGATATTATAACTATCATAATAAAACTTTTAAATAAAATTTTATCTTTTTATTTATTTAATTTGTATAGTTTATAAATTGTATTATTTTTTAGTAATAATATTAAACATTAACTGCAATTGTAATACTATTGCTGATAAAAAAAATTTCATTAGTATTATTATTTTTAAGAATATTATTTAATTACTAAACAGTAATAAATTTAATAATTATTATTTTATTTATTAATATTTTATTTTTTATTTTTATTCAAAAAATTTTCAGCATAATTAAACAAATAATTTATTTTTTAGATTAACTATAATTATACTTAATAGCTTTTATAATTATTGTAATAAACAAAAATAAATACTGTTTTTAAAAATTAAGTTTGAAAATCATTAAATATTGTATAATCAATTTGATATAATTATTATATTTATAGTGTAGAAGTTAATTATTAAATATATAATACTATAGATATTACGATATTATAATTATTAACAGTAATTATTTTTAGGTTTTCTAAAGTATTTTAATTATGGAATAGATATAATTTTTTTTAATATAACAAACAAATAACAAACAAAAAATTTTATAAATACCTTATTAATTAATAATGATAACACAGTATTTTAAACAACAAAAATTCCAATAAAAATTATTATTAAAATAAACTATAAACATTTCTAATTAATATAATATTTTATAGTTATAGTTAATAAATTATTTTATAAAATTAATATAAAATTATTTTGTATTAAATATAAGAATATTTTTGTTGTTTTTTAAATAAAATGAAAAATTGTAATTTATATCACAAATTGTTACAAACAAAATATTTATTATATTTATTGGGTGATACATGTTATCAAGTTGGATTTCCAAAATATCATCCAGGTTATCAACGTATTCTAGATTATAATTGTATTTATATCATGTACAATTTTGTATTACTAATGGAAATTGCTAGAACAATTATTACTAATTATATTGATGATAAATTTTTGGCAATGTTGACTGGTGATTTTACTATCTATTTTGGACCTTTACGTAGTCTATTTAAGTTTATTGTAATTTTTGACATTATATTAATATTATTGGTTAAACATATACGTTGCAAAAATAATAATAATAACAGCATTAATATTTTGTTAATCAATATTACAGCTAATGATGTTAAAAATCAGACAAAATTTAAACGCAATTATCAATTTATAATACTAATATACATGTCTATAGCTTATGTAATGTGTGGTCTAGCTAGTTTTGGTACCTGGTATCTACATTTTAGCTTGCTACAATTGCTAACCAATGGACTGGTAGTTTGGATACTATATTATGCAACTATCTATTCCCCATTTGCAATAACATATTTTTCACATATTGGGTTTATTTGTGTACAATGTTTAGTTATGTTAATGGAAATTAAGTATTTAAACGTAAAAACAATTTTGCCCATAATAAATAATAATAATAATAATGACACTAATAATAATAGTGTGCTAGTACAATTAAAACTTTTACTCGATAAATTAGATAAATTAAATAGACAAATTAGCGAACTAAATCAATCATGGTCATTTATTATATTTATCTATTGGATAACTTCTAGTGTTTTAATTTCAAATTTGTTTGTCTCACTAGTGTTTATCAAACTAAACAAAATGTTGACAATATTTTTCATATTATTTATATTGTTTATATTCATACCGATGACTGCTATCATATTGTTTGCCAGTAGTGTTAACACGGAATACATGAAAACACATAAAAATTTGCATAAATTATATTTAACTTTATATCGAAATAAAATTAATAGTAAAAACAATTACACAAAACTAATATCATTGATGATATTATTAAAAGTATAGCAAATTATTTTAATATAGTTTTTTAAATTAATAAATTAATCTAAATGTATAATATTATTATTTTTTACTTTATTATCTATAGTTGGAAACATTGATACAATTGTCAACAAATAGCAATATTGGTTTCAAATGTTGGCATTTATTTTTAATCACACAATTTACTTATAATATGGTTAAGTATAAAATCTAATGTATCTAAGCATAAAATTAAATGTCATAAATTAATATTTTTGTTTTTAATTATTTTATTCAATAGTTTATCTATCATATAACTAAAATGACAATCAAATTATTTGCATTATTTTTGTAAAGTATGTATTTATCATTAATCAATTACTGATAATTATTTATTTTGAATATTTTATTAGTTATAATTAAAATAATTTCTACTAATATTATTTATTCATAATAATAATAATAATAATCATTAACTTTTGTAAAAAAGCATAATTATATCAATAATTACTTCATTATTATATGATATTATTATATTAGTCTTTAGATAAATAGTTATTTATTTTTAAGCAAACAAAGTAATAATAATAATAATAAAATAATTTATTTTTTATTCATTCAAAAAAGTTTTCAGTATAATTATAATAATAATGTTTTAGTTTAATTTTAGCTTTTTAATTATTGAAATAAAAAATATAATTGAAAAAAATAAAAGTTTGAAAATGTTAATAAATACTGTATAGTAAAAATAATATTGTATAATTGTACAATATTGTAATTAACATAAAATGTATATTCATAAACTAATATAATTATGATATAATAATAATAATAATACTAAATTAATTGATTAGTTTAATATAGATATTTTAATTGTGAAATAAACTTAAGTATAAGTAAATAATAAAAAAATTAAAGTATAGTTTTTATTATAATAATAAGTGCATTATTATGAATACTATATTATTTAATTTTGTATATTATCATAATATTAAATAAAGTTATAAGTATTTCATTATTTTTGTTATTAAATTAAAAATATTTTACAAATATTTGATAAACAAAGTAAATTTTTAGGTAAAAAATAAAAATGAAAAATTGTAATTTAAATCATAAATTGTTGCAAACAAAATATTTATTATATTTATTGGGTGATACATGTTATCAAGTTGGATTTCCAAAATATCATCCAGGTTATAAACGTATTCAAGATTATAACTGTATTTATACCATGTACAGTTTAGTAATACTTATAGAAATGACTAGATTAATTTTAACCAATTATATTGATGATAAATTTTTGGCAATGTTGACTGGTGATTTTACTATTTATTTTGGACCTGGACGTGATAAATTTAAATTCATTGTAATATTGACAACTCTAACATTATTACTGGTAAAACATTTGCAGTGCAATAATATTAACAACAACAACAGCAATAACAATAATAATAATTTATTAATCAATATTACAAATAGTGATGTTAAAAATATGCAAAAATTTAAGCACATTTATCAATTGCTATTAATAATGTATATGTGTTTTACTTATGTAATGTGTGGTTTAGCTAGTTTTGGTACCTGGTATCTACATTTTAGCTTGCTACAATTGATAATCTATGGACTGATAGTGTGGACACTATATTTTGCAACTATTTATTTTACATTTCCTATAACACTTACTGCACACATGTGCTATATAACTGTACAATGTTTAGTTATATCACTTGAAATTAGATGTTTAAATATAAAAACAATTTTACCCATAATTAATACTAATAATATAAAAAATGTGCTAGTACATATCAGAAATTTACAAGCGAAACTAGATAACTTAAATCGTCTAATTGTCCAATTAAATCAATCATGGTCATTTATTATATTTATCTATTGGATATCGTTTAGTATTTTAATTTCAAATTTGTTTGTCTCACTAGTGTTTATCAAATTGAACCAAATGTTGACAATATTTTTTATATTATTTATATTAATTTTATTTATACCGATGACTGCTATCATATTGTTTGCCAGTAGTGTTAACACGGAATACATGAAAACACATAAATATTTGCATAAATTATATTTGACTTTATATAGAAATAAAATTAATAGTAAAAATAATTACACAAACCTAATATCGTTGATGATATTATTAAAAGTATAGTAAATTTTGTTTTTTATATAAAATTTTTTAAAGTAAATTGTAGTTTTTAAATAAATTTATATTATTATTAATAGAGCATTTTATTATACTTATAAAATTTAGTTGGAAACATTAATACAATTGTCAATAACTAATAAAATTGGTTTCAAATGTTGGCATTTATTTTTGATCACACAATTTACATATAATATGGTAAAGTATAAAATCTAATGTATTTTTTCATTAAAATTTATAAACTGTATTAATATTTTGTTTTATTATTTTTTTAAATAGTTTATCTATCATATAACTAAAATGACAATCAAATTATTTGCATTATTTTTGCAAACTTAGTATTTTTTTATTGTTGTATTTACTATATTTTTAATATTTGAATTATAAAAAATATTCAATAAATGTAACATTTTATCAATTAACATTTTATTACAATAATAAATATATTGTTTTACTTAATAAGTATAAAAATTAAGTTATAACTGGCCTAAATTATACTGTATAATTAAATTTAAAGTTATTATAGCATAAACTGTATTTATTTATTTATAATAAACT